CATTTGTATTAGGAGAGACAGATCTTCTAGAGACTTAACATTTGCTCCTGATATTCAGGCATCCGAATATTTTCCAATGTGGTAGGCATGTCGGGAAAATGCCACGTCTGGTTTTCACCTTAGGGCTCTGAACTGCTGACGGGCATGCTCAGGTGTTAGCCCCATCCTAATTCTGGCCTTTTGTTTAAAAAGTTTGTACTCATTCATGTGTTCTTTAGGCATTTCAGCTGCCACCTCTGCTAAGGGTCCACTGAGTTGTGGCCTCAGCTCCACCATATTTTGGTCTGGAGGGATGTTGTACCCAAGGCAGGCCCTTTCAAAATTTTCTAAGAAGGCCTCTGTATCATCGCCTACCATGTATGTGGGGAATTTCTTGGAATGGGGAGTGGTACCTGGAGGAGGACTGTTAGGGCTACCTGGCTGACCCGCTTAGCCCTTTCCAGCTCTAAGCGCTTTTGCTCCATTTCTGCCTCCAAGCGCTTTGCCTCTCTCCTCCACCTCCCAAGCGTTTCCCCTTTGCTTCTGCCTCCAAGCACTTTGCCTCTCTCCTCTCCTCCGCCTCCAAGCGCTTCACCTCTGTTTCCGCCTCCAAGCGCTACATCTCTCTCCTCTCCTGCGCCTCCAAGCGCTTCTCCTCTGCTTCCAAGGACTTCTCCTCTGCTTGCACCTCCAATCACTTCATCTGTAGGAAGAAATTCCTGTCTTCCACAGTTAGAACTTGGTCTGGGTTAAGGGCATCCCTCCATCTTGGCACCTGGATCTCAGGTTGAGGAGAGCTATCCATTCCCTCCCTCCAGGGAAATTTCCGGTCCCCCATTCCCTCCTCAGTGCCCGACCACAACCTCATGCACAAGGCTGCCCTAATCTAGCCTAGTTATTTCGTTGCCACAAAGCTAGAAAAAAAATAAACTGCTCATTGGACTCCCTGGCTTTGCAGGATGAACCCTTTGCATGCCTGTTCCCCCTCAGGCAGCAAAGGAAAGGAAAGGAAAGGAAAGGAAAGGAAGAAACAAACTCCCTGGCTTTGCAGGCTACCAAAAGGAAAAATGTGTCCTTTTAAAATCCTGAGGTCTGTGCTTCTGGTTCAAAATGATCCCACCGCTCTGCCACCATGTCAAGGCTAATTCCCCAATCTGGCACTTTGAGTGCAGAAGGTGGGGGCCCGCAAGGATTCTTAAAAATTAATACTGGCCACTCCAGGCTTATATTAAACTCCCAAGGTTACAGCTTTTTTCTGACCTCGGTTTGGTAGATGTTGCCACCAACCAAGTGCAGAACCCCTTTGAGAGCCCAGGAAGGCACACTTGGGAATTCCTTCCTATGAGATACCCTTAAGCCCTTTCACCCCCCTCCGGGGAAGAGCTGAGAAAGGGCGGGGGGGGGGAGAATCAGCTGTTTTCACCAGCTAACTAAAAAACATGTGCACAACCTCTTAGGACACAGAAAATCAATCTTGTTCTTAAAAAAAGGTAAATTTTATTTTTTTTAAAAAGAAAGAAAATACATTTGGAAACTCAGGTGTTTGCTAGATTTCAAAAGAATAACTACAAGGATTAAGCACCAAGAATAGTTTTCTTGAAGTCCAGCTTAAAGGTTATAAGCAAAACAAAAGCATCTGGGGTTAGCACAGAGGAGTCCATAAGCCATAAAGAAATAAAGAGATAAACCTAATCACGTCTTCCTAGACATTTCCTGATCTAGTTACATATTTGGGATTTCAGATGAGTAGTTTCTAGGTATGATATCGGGGATTTTTCATACCAGGCCCCAAGCTTCTTACAGCATAGTTGTTGCCCTGTTCGCTTCTCCCCGGGAGAACAAACAGACAGATCAAAGGGGAATCTTTGTTTCAATTTTTAAAAGTTCTAGCCTTCCCATTGGCTCTTTTGGCCAGGTGCCCACTCACTTCCTTGTACCTATGTATAGCAGTGAGACTTTTTAATCCTTTACAGGTAGAGCAATTAGAGAACAGCTTCTAAGAGGGATTTTATAGCTGCTGGCTGGCTGGGTGTCCATAAAAGGGAGCTACCCCCGTCCCTTTTCATTTATCACAGGGTGCCTTACCCGGGGTCTGGTGACCCCTGGGTAACGTACCTTGGGGCACCTTACGTATGGCACAGTGACCCCTGGGTAATATACCATGGTGCACCTTACCTGGGGCATGGTGACCCTTGGGTAATGTACCATGAGGCTTTATCCAGGGCACGGTGACCCCTCAGTAACGTATTATGGGGCACCTTACGCAGGACATGGTGGCCTGTGTGGCCCTTGGAGTCTTTCAGGGATGATGGGTGTCATTTGGAAAGGGACTCGCTAGCTCAGGGGTAGGCAACCTATGGCACACATGCCGAAGGCAGCACGCAAGCTGATTTTCAGTGGCACTCACACTGCCTGGGTCCTGGCCACCGGTCCGGGGGGCTCTGCATTTTAATTTAATTTTAAATGAAGCTTCTTAAACATTTAAAAAACCTTCTTTACTTTACATACAACAATAGTTTAGTTATATATTATAGACTTATAGAAAGAGACCTTCTAAAAATGTTAAAATGTATTACTGGGACGTGAAACCTTAAATCATTGTGAATAAATGAAGACTCGGCACACCACTTCTGAAAGGTTGCTGACCCCTGCTCTAGCTCAACACAGGGGCTGGGCTTGATGCAGGAATGCCTGTGGGAGGCCCTCTGGCTTGGGCTGTGTAGGGTCAGACCTGCATCACAACTCTGCCTTCTGGCCTGCAAATCTGTGACTCTGTGGACAAGGCAGTGAGAAGGGAATTGTGCTGAGCAGTATTGAGCTGCCAGAAGGGACACCCTGCAGCTTCTGATGATCCAGTCCGACTGCTATCCTCCTGAGATCTTTTGTGCGAGACTTTTCAGCAGAATGTGGCATGGCAGGACACCAGGTCTTGTGCTCCTCTCACAGACACCCAATTTATGCTGCGGTATCTCTATTGACTCAGTAGGAATAGTTCCTGATTAACACCACTGGGTGTGAGAGGACAAACTTTACAGTGGAAACAAGATCTGCTGCAAGTGAACTGGACCACATCAATGGGTGCAGTGAACTTGTGCTGCCACTGTTGAACAGTGGTTTCTGATCCAACGCCCACTGAGCTCAATGCAAAGTCTTCCATTGACTTCAATGGGCTGTGGATCCAATCTTGATTGCCCTACAGTTGGTTATACATCCAAACTGTCCTGCCCCTAATAGTGGCACTATAGTAAGCAAGTAGCATAGAATCATAGAATATTAGGGGTGGAAGAGACCTCAGGAGATCATCTAGTCCAATCCCCTGCTCAAAGCAGGACCAACACCAACTAAATCATCCCATCCAGGGCTTTGTCAAGCCAGGCCTTAAAAATCTCTAAGGATGGAGATTTCACCACCTCCCTAGGTAACCCATTCCAATGCTTCACCACCCTCCCAGTGAAATAGTGTTTCCTAATATCCAACCTAGACCTCCCCCACTGCAACTTGAGACCATTACTCCTTGTTCTGTCATCTGCCACCACTGAGAACAGCCTAGCTCCATCCTCTCTGGAACCCCCCTTCAGGTAGTTGAAGGCTGCCATCAAATTCCCTCAAGTATCAGAGGGGTAGCCGTGTTAGTGTGAATCTGTAAAAAGCAACAGAGGGTCCTGTGGCACCTTTGAGACTAACAGAAGTATTGGGAGCATAAGCTTTCGTGGGTAAGAACCTCACTTCTTCAGATGCAAGTCATCTGTTCTGTTAGTCTCAAAGGTGCCACAGGACTCTCTGTTGCTTTTTATCAAATTCCCTTTCACTCTTCTCTTCTGCAAACTAAATAAGCCCAGTTCCCTCAGCATCTCCTCGTAAGTCATGTGCCCCAGACCCCTAATCATTTTCGTTGACCTCTGCTGGACTCTCCAATTTGTCCACATCCCTTCTGTAGTGGGGGACCAAAACTGGACACAATACTCCAGGTGTGGCCTCACTAGTGCCGAATAGAGGGGAATAATCACTTCTCTCGATCTGTTGGCAGTGCTCCTACTAATACAGCCCAATATGCTGTTGGCCTTCTTGGCAACAAGGGCACACTGCTGACACATATCCAGCTTCTCATCCACTGTAATCCCCAGGTCCTTTTCTGCAGCACTGCTGCTTAGCCAGTCGGTCCCCAGCCTGTAGCGGTGCATGGGATTCTTCCTTCCTAAGTGCAGGACTCTGCACTCGTCCTTGTTGAACCTCATCAGATTTCTTTTGGTCCAATCCTCCAATTTGTCTGGGTCACTGTGAACTCTATCCCTACCCTCCAGCGTATCTACCTCTCCCTCCAGTTTAGTGTCATCTGTGAACTTGCTGAGGGTGCAATTCATCCCATCATTCAGATCATTAATAAAGATGTTGAACAAAACCGGCACCAGGACCAACCCCTGGAGTACTCCACATGATACCGGCTGACAACTAGACATCGAGCCATTGATCACTACCTGTTAAGCCCGACAATCTAGCCAGCTTTCTTTCCACCTTATAGTCCATTCATCTAATCCATACTTCTTTAACTTGCTGGCAAGAATACTATGGGAGACCGTATCAAAAGCTTTGCTAAAGTCAAGATATATCACATCCACCGCTTTCTCCATATTCACAGAGCCAATTATCTCATCATAGAAGGCAATCAGGTTGGTCAGGCATGACTTGCCCTTGGTGAATCCATGTTGACTGTTCCTGATCACCTTCCTCTCCTCCACCATAGTAATATGGTGAAGACTCCAGATCACAGGCAGTCCTGGGAACCTAGCTACATTGTGTATTCTTTGTCCTAAGCATTCTCCTCCGTGCTGGCTGGAAGCATGACCTGTACAGTAGCTGGGCCATTACAGCATTAACGCTCTCCCTGACCTCTGTCAGGCAAGCCCTGTATGGAGTGCCACATGGCTCTGCACAGCAGCAGGGTGAGGGCTGTAACTTCTCAGGAAGGTCTGTCCCCATCCAGACCTGTCCTAATGGCCTGCTCTGCTCTTGCTCGATGTCAGGAGAGTCTGTATCTGGCACTGAGGGAGGAGAAGGACGAGGCTGTGCACCGGCTGCACCAGGAGAAGGAGGAGCTGCTGTCCAAATGTGAGGCTGAGAAAGAGGAGCTGGCTGAGGAAGTACTGAGTTTGCAGCAGGAGCGGGATGAAAGCCTCCTCCTGTTGGAGAATGACAAGCAGAAGGTAAGCAGGGAGAGCAATGGTCCTGGAGGAGCAATGGCTGCAGGAAAGCTCCAGTCCCGGCCTCTCCCAGTGGAAGGCACTGGGGGAGTGGTATAGCGTGCTGGCTGTGGGGAACCCAGAGGAATGGAGAACATACCTTACAAAAGGAGACTTAAGGAGCTTGGCTTGTTTAGCCTAACCAAATGAAGGCTGAAGGGAGATATGATTGCGCTCTATAAATACATCAGAGGGATAAACACCAGGGAGGGAGAGGAGTTATTTAAGTTAAGCGCCAATGCAGACACAAGAACAAATGGCTATAAACTGGCCATCAACAAGTTTAGGCTTGAAATATGTGAAGGTTTCTAACCATCAGAGGAGTGAAGTTCTGGAACAGCCTTTCAAGGGGAGCAGTGGGAGCAAAAAATCTAACTGGCTTCAAGCCTGAGCTTGATAAGTTTATGGTGGGGATGGTATGTTGAGGTTGCCTACAATGGCATATAGCCAATCTGCAACTGCTAGCAGCAAATATCTCCAATGGCCAGAGATGGGACACTAGATGGGAAGGACTTTGAGTTACTACAGAGAATTCTTTCCCAGGTGTCTGGCTGGTGGGTCTTGTTGAAATACTCAGGGTCTAATTGGGATTGAGAAGGAATTTTTCCCCAGCTCAGATTGGCAGAGACCCTGGGGGGGTTTCGCCTTCCTGTGCAGCATGGGGCAGGGTGACTTGCAGGTTTAAACTAGTGTAAATGGTGGATTCTCTGTAACATGAAGTCTTTAAATTGTGATTTGAGGACTTCAGTAACTCAGCCAGAGGTTCGGGGTCTGTTACAGGAGTGGGTGGTTGAGGTTCCTTGGCCTGCAATGTGCAGAAGGTCAGACTAGATGATCATGATAGACCCTTTTGACCTTAAAGTCTATGTGTCAGTGAGTCTACTTCAGGCCCAGCCTGTGCCAACGGGAGGCGCTGTGGGGAGTGATATAGAGTGCTGGGTGTGGGTAACCCCACAGCTACTACAGGCCCAGCCTGGGCCAGCAGGAGGCTCTCTATTGAATGGCATAACAGTGCTAGCTGCAAGGAAGCGTGCAGCCACTGCAGTCCTAGCAGGGGGTACCTGTGGAGAATGTTCTTCCGTCCCAACATGCTGAGTTCCTGCACTTGTCCTTCCATGTGTGCCATTCTTAAATGATGGCTCCTGTCTGTTGCACCCTGCCAGGCACTGTCCCTGAAGGAAACGGAGAAGAGTCTGCTGTCAGAGAAGCTCAGCGAGGCCCAGCGGGAGCTAATGAATGCCAGAATGGAGATAGACCGAGTGAAGCTGGAGGCTCTGAACCGCCAGGAGCAGGATAAGGTGAGCTCAGATCCTTCTCTAGACACTGTGTGGCCCAAACAGTCATGTGCCCTGCAGGAGTTCTGCTGTGGCCAGCCCTGCAGCAGGAAGGTGCTTAAGCACATGTCAAATTCCAGGCATGTGAGTGATCCCATTGAAGCTGATGAGTATCAGTAATGGACAGGATTGCCTGTTTATCCTCCATGTTGCTAGCCAATTGTTTGAAAATGGCCTGGGCCAGCAAGCTCCAGATGTATTCTGGGTTACAACAGAAGGGATGATAGGAGTTGAATCCATAGTCGGACAGTTCCTCTGCACGCTGACTGGTATCCCCTAAACTGCTGTGAAAAGTACCCAGAATGCATAGTGCCTAGAAACAGCAGTTGGTGCCTGGGATACCTACCTGCAGTGCAATACGCTTCTGGCAGTACAGCACTGTGAAATGTGGATGTGAAGCTTCAAAGGGGAAGTAGCTTTAACCTGGGGCATGTGCACAGTGTGGACACACAGTCAATGCAGCTACATTGGTCCATTTACATCAATACACACTAGACTGCCACAACTTCTTCATTTAGACTGAGCCTTGCTATGAGAATAAAAACCCTCTTCAGGGGGAGAAGTCTTTCACTGCCTCTGTTAAGGCTAATTCCCCACTCTGGCACTACGAGTGCAGAAGGTGGGGACCCGCAAGGATTCTAAAAATTAATACTGGCCACTCCAGGCTTATATTAAACTCCCAAGGTTACAGCTTCTCTCTGACTTCGGATTGGTAGATGCTGCCACCACCCAAATGCAGAACCCCTTTGAGAGCCCAGGAAGGCGCACTTGGGAATTCCTTCCTGAGGGGTACCCTCAAGCCCTTTCACCACTCCCCCACCGGGAAGAGCTGAGAAAGAGGAGGGGAAAAAAAGGAAATTAGCTGTTGCCACCAGTTAATGAAACAACATGTGCACAAACCTCTTAAGACACAAAAATCCAATTTTGTTCTAAAAAAGGTAAATTTTATTAATAAAAAAAGAAAGAAAATACATTTGGGAACTCAGGCTACTGCTAAATTTTAAAAGAGCAACTACAAGGATTAAGCATCAAGAGTAGCTTTTTTGAGGTCCAACTTAACGGGTACAAGCAAAACAAAAGCACCTGGGGTTAGCACAGAGGAATCCACAAGCCATAATTAAATAAAAGGGATTAACCTAATCATATCTTCCTAGATATTTCCTGATCTACTTACATATCTGGGGTTTTAAATTAGTAGTTTCTAGGTATGATACTGATGATTTTTTCATACCTGGCCCAAGCTTCTTACAGCATAACTGCTGTCCTGTCCTCCTCTCCCCAGGAGAACAACAACAGACAGAACGACAAAAGGGGAGTCTTGGTTCAATTATAAAAAGTTCTAGCCTTCCCATTGACTCTTTTGGTCAGGTGCCCACTCACTTCCTTTTACCTGTTTCAGAGTAGCAGCCGTGTTAGTCTGTATCCGCAAAAAGAAGAACAGGAGTACTTGTGGCACCTTAGAAACTAATGAATTTATTATAGCATAAGCTTTCGTGGACTACAGCCCACTTCTTCGGATGCATATAGAAT